AGATTTATTTATTTATGCATACAAGAACTGGGGTATAGGCCAGAGGTGCCGGCGGAGGGTGACAGGATTCACTGGAGACAGTGGGGTATAGAACAGTATCTACTGAAATACATTGCGGAAGGGAGCAGCAGGCGAGACAGGACAGGTCTGCTACGCCATGAGGGTCAGTCAGCTCTGGCCAGGGAGCAAACTTGTGCTGCAGTGGTTGCCGATAGCTTCATAGTGCTGAGACTTAATCCCTTGTGCCACCAGGGAGGCTCTTTGTTTTTTGCTTTTTTATAAAAAAAAAGGTACACTAAGGCCTCTCTGGTGGCACAAGGGGTTAAGTCTCAGCACTATGAAGCTATCGGCATCCACTGCAGCACAAGTTTGCTCCCTGGCCAGAAAGCTGACTGACCCTCATGGCGTAGCAGACCTGTCCTGTCTCGCCTGCTGCTCCCTTCCGCAATGTGTTTCAGTAGATATTATTCTATACCTTCCATCTCTGGCGATTCCTGTCACCCGTTGCCCCGCACCTCTGGCCTGTACCTCAATACTTATATATATAAATAAATTGTAAAACAAACAAACAAAAGAAAAAGTATTTCTAGTTTACATTGTTTGGACAAGATAAACTTTTTGAAAGGCTGTTGAATAAGATAAGAAATAAATTCTATTATATATGACATCAAAGGGTAGAGTCCATGGCCAACAGATAAAAGCTACAAAAATATCATGTATTCATTTTTAAAGACACTAATAATTAGATGTCCAGAAAATAAGCACATGAAGTCCGTATTTGTTTGTTTTTTAAAGATTTATTTATTTATTTTTAAAAGATTTATTAATGCATACAGAGCTGGGGTACAGGCCAGAGGTACAGGGTCGGTGAGAGTATTCACCAAAGACAGAATGGGGAGCAGGACAGGTAGATCAACAGAGTACACTGCTGAGGGGAGCAGCGAGCCAGTCAGGAGAGGTCTGTACCATGTGGGTCACCTCCGGGGCAGGGATCGAACTCTTGCTCAAGTGGCTGCAGCTTCTTCAAACACTTGCAAAAGTGGCTTTAGCTTCTCAGTGCTGTGCTTTAACCCACTGCACCATCAGGTAGGGCCCTTATTTATGCCTACCAGAGTTGGGGTACAGGCCAGAGGTATGGGGGGGTGAGAGGATTTACCAGAAATGAGTGGGGAGCAGAACAGGCAGATTGACTGAAATACACTGCTGAGGGGAACACGGGGCAGGTGAGCAGAGGTTTGCTGTGCCATGCGGGTCATTTCTCAGGCCAAGCACTGAACTGGTACTGCAATGGCTGCAGAGCCCTTCATAGTGTTGTGCTTTAAGGAGAGCCCAAAGCCTGTTATTTTTTTCAGAGCTGTTGGCTTGCTGCAATTGTTTGACTAGTTGAGACCTAATTCAATCAAACTTTGATTCAGAGATCAAAATGTTTATTTCTTGACTTGTAGGTGATGCCACTGTTACAATATCTCATCGCTATACCCCCAAAGAGCAGCTGAAGAAACATACAATTCTTGCAGATATTGTGATCTCTGCTGCAGGTAAGGATACCTCAGGAGGATGGAAAGGTGTCATCTCAGAAGAGAGAAGATGGGTCTCAGAGTTTGCCTGTCTCACCTCCGTTCCACTCACCATTCCCGTCGGAATGATACTGTGAACAGCCTACAGAGATGGGCAGTGGTTGTGGATGAAATACTGGTTTCTGGCATTCCATTATAGACTTGCTAAGTGAATACGATTATAAAGCCTCAAAATATTTCTGTTTCTTATAGGAAGTTTAAATGGTTCCTTGAGTAATAGTTTTTATAAAACAAGCTAACTTTTCCAGATTTTTTTTAAGATTTATTTTTTTATGCATATAAGAACTGGGATGTAGGCCAGAGGTGCAGGGAGTGGTGGTATGAGAGGAATCACTAGAGATAGAGTAAGGTGCAGAACAGAGGGATCTGTTGAAATACACTGCTGAGGGGAGCAGCAGGTGAGACAGGAGAAGGTCTGCTGAGCCATGTGGGTCAACTCCCTGAATGGGGATCGAACCGATGTTACAGTAGCTGGCTATAGCTTGATAGCACTGAGACTTAACCCACTGTACCACCAGTGAGGTCCTAATTCTTCCAGATTTCTTGAAATTAAAATTAGATAAGAATCTGACATGTGGAATCTTCTTTTCAATTCTTAATTGATCACTCCTGTCTCCATCTCCAGGTATTCCAAATCTGATCACTGCAGACATGATTAAGGAAGGAGCAACTGTCATTGATGTGGGAATAAACAGAATTCAAGATCCCATAACTGCTAAACCTAAGTTGGTTGGAGATGTGGATTTTGAAGGTAATAGAATAAGTTTTTAAAAATATAAAGCCAGTAACTACTACCTTTAATGGACATTTTAGGACAGATCATTTACTTCCTTTAGCTTTTAAACTAATGCTACTTTGTCGGCAATATAAATGTCTTCCATAATAGAGAAATTTTATAATTATAGCCATTCTAGAATAATTTTAGATATTTGTGTCGTGAAATTATAGAGAACAGGTATAAGCTTTTCAAGGAATTATTTATTTATTACTTAAAAAGATTGATTTATTTATGCCTACATAACAGGGGTACAAGCCAGAGGTGCAGGGGTGGTGAGAGGATTCATCAGTCAGAGTGGGGAGCAGAACAGGCTGACTGACGAAGTACACTGCTAAGGGGAGCAGTGAGCAGGTCAGGAGAGGTCTGCCACACCATGTGGATCTCCTCTGGGGCAGGCGGGGATTGAACTCATGTGGAAGTGGCATTAGTTTCTTAGTGTGTGCTTTAACCCGCTGCGCCACCAGGGAGGGCCCTGGGCTAGCTTTTTTTTTCAAGAAAAAAAGGATTTCTTCTTTAAGATTGGGTTTGCAAAACCTTACTTTTTTCCAGAAAATTACTTTGCTTGGTTCTTTGGGCAAACTGTATAGTTAAATACAATAAATAGAGTAAAATTAAGAAAAGTTGTAGGCAGATATTGACGTAGTGCTGTTTCTTTGAATGTTTCTCCCATGATCTGTTAAACTACATAGATTTCCTTTCCATATTGTCTCTATGTAGAAGTCAGGAAGAAAGCTGGTTACATCACTCCAGTCCCTGGCGGTGTGGGCCCCATGACGGTGGCGATGCTAATGAAAAATACCATTATTGCTGCCAAAAAAGTGCTGAGGCTTGAAGAGCGGGAAGTACTAAAATGTAAGGAGCTTGGAGTGGCAACCAATTAACTGTGTTGTCTTCCTGTGTCATGAACTGCACTCCAAGCCAGGTGAAGCGGCAAAACACTTCGATAGAGATGCAATATTTTTAATTTATTCTAACTGAAATGGTTTTAAATCATTGTATTTATTGAAAGCGTTAAGTGGGTGGGAGTTTGGGCACAGGGCTCTGCAGTACCTCAGCAGGGGGCAGTGGGCTGTGGGTCTTACCCTCTGGCCTCCTGAAGCCTTTAGTCTAGTGATAACCTGGGGACATCAATTACAAATGGGTGTTTTAACTCTGTCAAGCCACTCAGTTAACATTGCCTTTTTCTAGGAGCGCGTTTCCCAAGTGCTATTCCAATGCGTTGATGCTCACTTTAGGTTTAAAACCTTTTGAGTTCAACTGGTCGAACCAAAGGGAAAATCTTCTAAGAGGACATTGGGGAAAAGATAAAAAGAAAGAAACGTGATTGGGTAGAAAACAAAATGTTGACAGCCAGAGAAAAAGCTTCATGTTTATAGTATGTAAGCTATTATTTCATGACTTATTCATTGGGAAAATGTTTAAAGTTGTTCCAATTGCTGTTAGCCCTCGTTTTATGTATTTCACCATTCATAAGTTCTCTCCATTTCAGTTTTATAGGACTGAAGGCTGATTTTATAAATTATTCATGTGTATCATCACCTTTGATTTTTCTTATTTCCTCAAACCTCACTGTCACATTTTTGTATTGTTGGAGGTGTTTATATGATTGCTTTGGTATATCTTGAAGCCTATTTTTGAAAAACAAAACTTCGGCTTGATAATCGTTAGGGCAGCTTGTGTAAGTATGCAACTTTTCCACCAAAGAATTGTCAGCAGCTGCCTGCTTTTCTCTGATGCATCTGTTGGCTTCTCCTACCCCTGGCCCTATAGTTTTCTTGAGAGCTTGAGTTAATACTGAATTTAATCAGACTTTCTGATTAAAATTTTGTTTTTTAAAATAAAATAATTTTCACAAATGTGGAATGAGTTTCTGAAATATAGTATCTTTCTGCCACTGTCTTATTTGTGATTTTTGTCATAGTTAATTGTTCTCACTGGATATAATCAGTCTAGGTGTTTCTGTAGTTGGTAACATCCAATTCTATGCCTTAAACAAATTGGTTTAAAGAACTATGGGGAAACCAGCCTGATCCTTTTAGTCTTGTATCTCAACAGGCTGTACTGGTCACGAGCTTTTGTAAGACTCAGGCTTACTAGTTTGAGCTGACAGGTGGGAAGGTGCTGCCACACACATCGCTAGGACAGGCCCCTGTGGACCATCCACCAGCCCTGTGTATTTGGCAAAAGCAATTCTTTCTCTAGGCAGCTTCAGAATGAATGAGAACACTGAGAGCTGACCTACACCCTCCTTGTTCCTTTGCAGCTGACTTCAGTCTTTCTATAGTTTTCAGGAGATGAAAGAAGATAACTTGGAGACTTTTTAAGTGAGTTATAGCTGATGTCCATAAACCATGCCTGCTGACTTAACCTATTAAACAGAGTAAGATGAGCAGAGAGCATTCGTTTTATTGAATTGTAGTTACATGTGGGAGAAAGTATTAATCTACTGCATGGAGAATAACAATATATCAACATGTTAAAAGCTACTGAAAGTAAGATGTTCATATATACACAATTTAAATGCCATAGGTTGAAAATTACAGTGATCAATTTACAAAATAACTAAAAATTAACATTATCGTTTCCCAGTTTGATTGATCAAGCACAGTTATTCCTAAATTCAAAATATTTCTACAATTCATTTTAGACCCCTGTCTATTGCTTTTGGAAATGAGCCAGGTTTTAAAACAAACATTTAGGGTGGATTATTATCTCTCCCAAGACTGCTGCAGGTGAAGATTAACAATTTGTATTTAAGCTTGGGGGGATGGTTCTAGATTGGTGAATAGCTAAGTAATTCTGCCTTTCTTTTCCCCAGTAGACACAGTAGAAGTTTAGAACTTTACTCTTGGCAGTGTCCCTTGGAAAGGAGCTCTGAGATTTAATGAACATTTCTTGAGCACTTTCTATGGACCAGGTACTGCACCAGCTCTGGCAATTGACTTAAGGTGTTAAGGTAAAGAAAAAGCACCTGTTTTTGTCAATTTGGATAAATGTAACCCTAACCAAAGTGATTTTATCAAGATCCCAACCATTGTGCTTTGGAGAAGGTAAACGTCAGATGCATTGTGGCTCACAGGCGCATGGTAGGCATTAAATAAGCAGGGTGTTCATTAAATGTGGATTAAATATTAAACAACTGGTCTCAGGTTTCATGAAGAAAGGGTTTGCCTCATCGTTAACAGGTTTTGATCTACCCAACTTGCTTCCAGTAATTCCTCTAATGTACTAATATTTCAAAGTTCAAATCATTCAAAGTCAACGCTTGTCATTAACTCTGCCTGATATGCAGTGTGCATGTGAATGGGAGTCTGGCTTTGGAAATCAGGCCACTGAAAACTTGTAGGACCTACTCATATGTATAAGGAAATTTGATCCTGGGCATGAGAAACCATAGACACCAACTTAAACGATCATTTTGTTGGTTTAATATGTGGTTTGAAATTTCATTTTAACAATTATTTTAGAACTATTTATCCACCCAAGTATGTTGGTTCTTTCATTAAAAGGCTTTTGGAACTTTTTAAATCTGAGAAAGCTGCAGACACACCTCTGCCCATAATGGTTTGACTTTGTCATATGACCCTTAGAAAACTAAATGAGCTGGAGAGAAAAGATAGGACCTTTACAGCATTTCTTAATATGTGGAATTACAAAACAAGTTCTCCAACATGTGTCACCAATTGGTATTTTAATAGATTTCTAGACTGTTTAGATGCTTTAACTTTTTTAAAATGTGCTATTTTAAATAGAAATTGGCTTTTGCCCTGTAGTTTTGGCTTTGGGAAACAAACATTTTTCATTTTAGAAAATACAGTGTAACATTTAGCTATGATCATTTTCATAACTACAAAGGGAAGGAAGGACTTTACAGGTAAGTAATGCTTTTCATCGACAGATCTCTAAATCAAAGCATAATGACTCTGGTAAATACAGAAGCAGGCTCAGAAAACAGAAGGGTTTTGGCCCAGACTCACAGTGAAGACTGAACTTTCTCTGCCATTTGTGCCCCAGGAGGGAAGCTACTTCCTCCTAGAGGGTGGTCTCACCATCAACTTCTCGTCCATATCTGTCCCTGCCTGTGAAGTCACAGTCTGACTCCATGTCTATCTTCACCTGTGGCACCATGAACACTGGGCTCTGCGAATAGTTGAAAGCAGGTGAAGCTGGACAGGAAATTTTGAAGTGCAACGTGATGCTGAACAAGAAGAAAAAGGAGGGGAGAATGATTAGTGCTCATGTCTTTAATGCTAAGCCCCAGGGCAGATCGCTAATGCAAAAAGTTCTCTTTGCTTCTGAACCCTTATCATTAGAACCAGCAGTACCCTATCTGCTTGGCCTTCAGCTACTGCTGAAGTTATTTAACTGGTCTCCCTTGCTTCAACCTACTCAGGTTGTTGCCAGAGTGAACCTGGCATCACAGATCGGACGGTTGATTCCCCTCTGTTCACACACAGAATCCCAACTCCTTCGCGTGGTAGCACAGAGGTTCTACACTCACATTCCTGCCTACTTCTAGTTTGAGTGCCTCATCCATCGGGGTGTTCTTTACCTTGTGTATTTTCAAATGCTATTATATGCCTGTTCCTACTGCCTTTACACATCTGGCAGACTCCTATTTCTTTCTAGACTACAGATAAGGCAGTCCCTCCCTTATGCCACTGAGCTTTCTCTGTGGGTACCCACTGTGTCTTGGTTCACAGGGCTGCCTTTCTATATCCTTGGGGTTAAGCTGTATGCTTGGAAGATGTGGATGCTTAGTCTTTATTAAACTATATTATATTGCTGAGCCACTTTCTTTACTGAAATGGATTCCTGGTATTTAATGGTCTTTGACTTCACCTGCTTTCAGAGATTTGGTACAACACAAGTGTAAGGTAGAATGTACCATTGTCAGTTACTCAATTATCTGCATTTCTGAACTTACCCTTTGTTTTGTGTAATTTTTTTTTGTTGTTGTTTTGTGTAATTTAACAGACTTTTGGAAATGTCCTATCCTGGTCAAATTCTCCACTGTCTGAAATTGGGGCAGTTAAGAGGTTAAGTTTAAGTGTAGGCTACTTTGAAATGAAAATAAAGACAGATTACTTTTTCCCTAACATTTATAAAGACCTGTGGCATTAACAGCATAGGAACGCTGATTGGAGCGCTGATTGGAGCGGTAAATGAAAAGGCAGGCAGAGACGAAATTTGCATGTTGACACTCCTGGGGTAGGGTGGCCTTGAGCCTCCTGCTTAGGGAGGCTAATAAATCTTCTCTCATCCAGGTACTGTGATAACAGCTTTCACTTTTAACTCATGATCCCATTTTTAAACTCGGTGGGCGCCATCTAATATGGGCGATTTATCTGCCACTATGTTGGACTAGCTGTGCTTTTTCACATGTCTGGTACGTGCAGAGCGACTCCGGACCAGTTCAGGACACGGGCTGCTCCTGTCATCTTCCCTAGTCATTCCTGAGGCAGTCTTTGTCTCTGAATTCTTCCTTCCCATTTTCATGCTCTCACCCCATCCCACTTGTTTTCAGTCACCACATAGTCCCACTTTTCACAGGTGGCTTCTCACAAGAACACCAAGGGGTCACGTTGTTGACCTGTGTGCTCCTGCAAACAGCCTTGATTCCTTTCTTGACTGTTTTTATCTCCACTCAATCTTTGATATTTAGTCAGCTTTCCTCAATACCTTCTCTTCTCTTTACTAACTAATCATACTGTTATTTTTTACTCCATAAAGTACCTACTGTTTTGATCCTTAGATCATTTATCTTGACTTTCAGTAATACATACTCAAATCATGTCTAAATTTTTCAATATATATTGTCAACTTTTACCTGATGTTTTTAAATAACTCTAAAGCTCAGTATCTTTATATATTATGTAGTTGTGTTATATCAGTGAAAGAAGATGTATTACTTCTCACAATGATCAGGTCTGCTTGCCTTTGTCTCCTGTGGTGGGCTAGCAAAGGCCTTTTACTGAGACACTGGCTAGCCTGGGAGATCCTAATCCTCAAACCCCCCTGGCCATTGCTTAGCCTCTTATTTAATACCCAAGAAATCTAACTTATGGCCATTACCTTCGATTGAGTTCTGAGTCACTGAAGGAAGAATCAGAGTGAGTAACTCCAACTGGAAGATCTTTTTCCTGGCAGGAAAATTAAAATGTCAGATGTGGGGCAAGTTTGAGAACATTCTATTTCTCCACTGTTTTCTTCACCCACTTCTATTCTCTAACCTCATGACTACCACTACACAGGAGTGGTGCATGGCCTCAGGGATGGGTGACTTCTGGCTCAGTTATTCCGTCATCCAAAGATTTCACAGCCAGGCTAGGTGGATATGAGACATGGGGAGGGCTAGGAAACAGCAAGGGCAATGGAAGTATATAGATGGGAAGGGGAATGAAGGGTGAGAAACTGAGAAATCAAGGGTGCTAGGAGGTCCTTAGAGGTTCTGAGGGGTTGGCTGCATTCTGAGTCTGGGTCTTTGAGGAAAGTGGAAGCCCATCATTAGAAACACCAGGGTTGAGATCTTTCGAGACAGGCTTGTCTGGATGACTGTCCAATAGGGATGTGAGGCTGGGGTCTAACAAATGCCAGGTCCCTTCCAGGGAGACTTCCCTGTCCAGCAGGTGGGAGAGGCCTGTGAGTCACACAGAATCAGCCCAACCACTGGTACCTTCACTTCTAATGTGCAGTCCAAATGTGACGTCTATGAAAGGGAAAATTCAGCTTGGATTTGAGCTGACTTCAACAAGTCATTTCAGCATCTACTGAGAAGCTTGACAGGCTCTGGAGTCATGCAAGAGAGGGCCAGGTGGTGCCACAGACATCTTCAGGGCACCAAGGGACTTGTGGGGCTTTGCCTGAACTAAAGAGAAGCTTGATTTGGGGTTTTCATCTGGATGGAGGCCCAATTCTCATGGCCCAGTACTCTACAAACTCTGCTTAGCATAGGAGTCCTTAGCAAATAAGACCCTTAGATTTAAAGATCATTGAGTTAAAGATGAAATGTCCTCCAGGGAGAGGTGGAGGCAAGTAGGAAGGGGAAGACACCGTGTGTTTTACTTACTGGCAATGCAGTGGATACCGTTTTGGGGATCTGATTGGACACTTTCCATGGGAATCTTTATAACTGAGGGAGGAGGGAACTGGGGCTGGAGAGAAACAGTTGGAAAAACCGATAAACACAACCAATACAACAGCTTTGGCTTTCTTGTTAAGATGGAAATTACACGCATCCACAGTGTGTAAACCACCATCCTCTCCACATCCAGACTGAACACTTCAAGGTGCTGCACAAATGTTAGGACCCCCTGAGGGGGTGTCACAGACAGGGCAGCCCTTCTCCATGAATTAAGAATAATATCAACTGCCATGACAGCCAGTCTCCTGGGAATGAACCTCACACAGTCTCCTGGAATGTGTAAAGATGTATGTGAAATGAACCCATATAAATTCAGTCCTGTTTTTCCATTGACTAACACAATCCAGTGATGCTTTTCCCCAAGCCTGAAATAGTTCCTGGCACATGGTAGCCACTAAAATATTTATTTATTGAATGAATCAATAAAATAATGACTTGTCTTTAAAAAGCACGTAGATTTTCATTTTCTTGGTAAGCAGGACCTGCCTTGGCAAATCCCCTATGGCATACATGTGAATGGATTATGAATCTCTTCTTTCCAAGGAAGAGGGCAGTGATTAGGACCAGGGGAGTTTTGGTCTATGACTACCAACAGAATATGCCCTATTCCAACTAATAGATCAGCAAGGATTTGCTTAAAAATGGCTCTGATCTGCAAAAGGCAAGATTACTAGGTGAAGGTGAGTGTAGGGATGTGGGTTCAGGTTAAGTTAGAAGAATGAGCCAGGTGTGGTATGAGATGGCACAGGCAGCTTAGTGTATTAAGCATGTTCAGACTCGGTCAGCAAAGGTTTTCTTAGTCCCCTCTTAGTGATTTATGTGCCTATCTTGGATGCATCATTTCTCTTGGGGGACGGTTTCATCATCTGTAACAACACTTGAGCTAGGCAATCTTTCTACCCAATCTTTTGTTATTTACTGCAAGTTCTGGATGACTCCCTGAGTATTTAAGGGTGGGGAGGAGAGGAAGCATGCAAAAAGAGAGGAGCAGATGGGGCTTTCAGGTGGCCCCTAGGCATCTGGGGAAAATAGTCATGCTCCTTTCAGTGTTAAATCATGCTTCTCTCCCCACCTCCCTCCTCAACACCCTGAAGGACAGGCCAAGCAAACCTTGTCCCCAGTCTTCTGACATGTCCAGGAGTCCAGTTTACTGATGAGCCCATTTTAAACCCTCCCCTGAGGTCTCCACTTTGTGGTCAGTCCACATCATCTCCGTGATGAAGCAGGTTCCATCTGTGACCTGCACTGCTGTTGATAAAAACTCTGAGCCCAAAGAATGGGAAAGTGGGAGATTGAGGGCCCAGCCCGGGGCTGACCGCCTGAGAAAACACCCCATCCCCAGCCCTGGGGGAACAGGGGAGGGCAAGACTCAATCTCTTCCCTAGTCCCAGGTCTCACATTCTCCCCACCTCCTCATCACTGTCCTCCTGTGCCCCTTTCCTTCTTTTCTTCTTTTTATCTGTCTCCTTTTTCTCCTTCTCTGGGAGGATGTTGTCAATCCAGGCCAGATCATGCTGGGAGAAGACGAGGTCCAGAAGCCTGCGGACGATGATGAGGCCCAGGATCTGTGGTGGGAATTGGAGAAAATCATGGGCTCAGCGCCCCATATTTGGGCGCAGTTTTTTCTCCCTCTCAGTTGTATTCAGGAACTTTTCTTTGGAGCCACCTCAAAGCTCCCCATACCATTACCAACTAACCCCCATCTTGAGTCTTCTCATCTGACTCTCCTCAATTAAGTGACAAGCTGAGTGACAACTTGTCACAGCTGAGGTGAGGGGTCAGGACAGAGGCCTGGGCCAGAGAGCTAACTGTTTAAATGAGTGGTTCCAAACCTTGAACTTGCATCACAAATCACCTGGAGGGCTTGTTAATATACACACTACTGAGTGCCTCCCAGAGTTTCTATTTCAAAGGGTCTGGAGTGCAGCCTGACTCTAAATTCACATCTCTGACAGAGTTTCCCAGAAGATGTTGCTGCTGGTGGTTTGGGGATCACATTTTGAGGTCCACTGTCCCTGTGCCCTCACTTCTGAGAGCTACCAATCTGTCTACTAAAGCTAAAGAAAGTTGGGCCTTCCTGATGACGCAAGGGTTAAAGCACAGCACTATGAAGCTGTCCACAGCCACTGCAGCACGAGTTGGATCATCAGCCAGGGAGCTGACCCACATGATGCAGCAGACCTCTCCTCACCAGCTGTTCCCCTCAGCAGTGTGTTTTAGTCAATCTGCCCATTCTGCTCCCCACTGTCTCACCCCCACACCTTTGGTCTATGCCACAGGTCTTGTATGCATAAGTAATCTTTAAAAAAAAAAATAAAGCCAGAGAAAAGTCTAGAAAACTTGGTGTTCAGGATAAATAAAGGGAAAACATGCTCTTTGGGTAAGATTAAACACTGACCTCTCAATAAACCCAATGAACTCAGGGTGGCTAGTTATAAGCATAGCCTTTTACCAAGAACTGACCATTAAATGAGGTAGAGAGAAAACCATCCAGCTGGATTTAACACTGGACTTGCAGACCCTGCTTCTTGGGAGCAAGGATGTGGATTTGGACAGACTAGTTTTTTAAAACTCCTGGCCCTGAAGACAAATTAGTGGTTGCTAGGGAAAGGGGTCGGGAAAGGTATTGTCTACATAGGAACAGCACGAGGGAATTTTAGGGATAAGGGAATGTTTTGTCTTAGGACTTGGGTGGTGGAATCACTACTCTGTGCGTCTGTCAAAACTCAAAGCCACAGAGTGAATTTTACCAACTGCAAACTTACAGAAGTCAGTGGAGGAGGGTACAGATTCCTAACTATGTCACTCACATGTGCTTCCTGAGCCTCAGCTTCCTCACCTGTAGGAAGGAGGTGCTGGGAGTCCTTTAGGGCTTACATGCCATACCTGCTCATTGCTACTATCAGTGTCTTTTCTTGTCACCTCAACCTTGGGAGGGCATTTTTGGGGGCAGATCCTTTTTCCTTACCACAAATACCAATGCCTGGAGTTTTCCAACAGATCCTGATTTGGGGTGGCTCCCAAGTGGCTCCAGTGAACAGTCAGGATGGAGAACCCTTGGCTTGGAGCCCCCCAGTAGCACACATTGTCAAGTTCTAATTTGCTTGGGCTCCTGGATCCAGCGCCTGCAAGCTTTGGGTCCATCTGGGGCTTGCTCTAAGCATTAGTCCAGGGGCTCAGACCCCCCAGAAGGCCTCCAGACCACTCCCCTCTGGAGGGGTTATCTAGGGGCCAGATACATTTTCATTTATTTGAAATAATTTCAAACTTACACAAAATTTGCAATACTCATCACTCCCACGCACTTTCCCTAACTTTACCAAACGTCATGCTAATGACAATGGACTTTGAAATTCTTAAATTTCTGATTCTATAGACCCCCTTTTCTACCTTCCCCCAATTTATCTTCAAATTCAGTTCTTTTAAATGATCAATTAAACATGGTTAATACAAAAAGTACTTCTGCATTCTGAATTTTGGCTGTGGGGAACTCTGTCTCCTTTTTGAATTTGCCCAACTTATCCATCCCTCTACAGACAGGGAAGGAGGGCAACTTGAATCTTGACTGAACTGCAGTGACCAGGCTGGAAGGCGGTTGGTGGGTTGACTCCGCAGCACTCTCCCCTCCCCCACCATCCAGTCTCACCTCTCCATTTCCCCTGCTTCATTTGGCTGGACTCACAAATGTGTGGGGTGCCTGCCTCTGTGGCCCCAGAAGAGTCAGGCTATCGGTGAGAAGGCAAGGTGAACTTCTCATGGATATCTGCCCGGGGTGAACCCACCCCCATAAAAGGAGGAAGGCTGGCCCCTCCTTACCATGACTGGGAAGATGATGGCAGCCATCGTGGATTTGAGGATCCAGAGCACCGCCAGGCAGAGTATCTGCACCAGGGTGAAGAGGTGGATCCGGCGAAGGGGCACGTGTCGGAGGAAGGCGTGATCCGGCTGGTGCTTGGCAGGCATCAGAAAGAGCTTGCAGCGTTCCCAGAACTAGTAAGAACAGCATCGTGCTCAGTCAGATGATGAGGGGAACCCTGCTGGG